CATTTAATTAACATTCCCATTATAATCTACATAGTGAAAGACGTGTGTAAAGATATAAAGAGATCTTGTGCAAATCTGCTTTTCTAATAAAGACCGGAATTCCACGACTGTCTGAATACAAACAAACAAATCTTTCCAGCAGGAAAGTGAGCCAAATGTGAGGTGAAGCTTGTGTTTGTGTGTCAGTCTCATGCCAGTGTAGCCCAGCTTCTGTGCCTGCCTGCTGTTTTGGTTCTTGTGTTACCCTCTGGGACACACACACACACACACACACACACACACACACACACACACACCGGCAGGCACTCTGGGTGGTTGTGTGAAATGATGATTTAGTTTCCTGATAAAGAATGATACTTGAAACACTTGAAAAGTTGTTCCCCTCTGAATACTGTCACATGCTGAGTGGCAGGCACCAGAATCTTACCTCCACTCCCGTCTGCAGGTGCATTTGAATTTAGACTTTAAAGTTTGGTTTGAATGTCTTACCTTGAGGGCTCTGCAGTAAAGTTTAGCTGGTATCATGCCGTTTTCCCTGTGGGTGGATGGATTTGAATTGGTTTCATGTACTTTTATAAACAACACATACATGTAAGGGGTAATGTGCATTCAGACGGTTAATATCACAACACCGGTTAATATCACAACACCTAAATGTATAAATATGCACCGAGAAGTGTGCAACTGCCCTGATACTCGTGGGAAACATAATCTAGCTCTCCACACGCATCGCCTTCCTGGCCCTGAGCTGCACAGTGTCAGGATTTTGCAGAATTTACATCTCTGAACCTCTTGAGCCGCTCCCAGCCGCTCGGCTGCAGTTTTACTGAGGATGATCTGATCTGAGGTGACTGAGGTTTCAGCTGGAGCTAAACTGGTGCTTGTGAGTGTTGAGAGATGGATGATGGGATAATGACAAGGAGTGACATTCAGTTTACTTCATAACTGTCTCATTGCATAATTACAACTAATTTTGACACCACCGGCTGCAAATTGCTTTATTTATACCATGTGTCTTTCATTTTATTGAGTATTTTATTTATTTTCAAATGCTAATAGCTTAAATCCTCTTTTTTTGAGAGAGAGAGAGAGGATTTGATCAGAAGGAAAGATTTATGGTACATTAGCCCTAAGAAATTACCCTAATAGGCCACTTCCAGAATGCATTCTCTAATTGACATTTTCTGGGCAAAATATGGGTCCAGTTAGCAAAACAAACCAGCCAAGCCCCCCTTGGAGTTAATACTAACAAAAGCTGGAGAATGGTGGAGAAAGAAGGAAGAGAACAACGGACAATCAAAGGCTGTTATTTTAATCTGCCCGACCCCAGAGATTAGCCGACCACATTGTTTTAATTGTTTTAAAGGAGGAAGCACAATGCTCGCTCATTGAAGGGAGATGCTTTGCCTAAATCTCCCAAGTTCAATAGTTTCAAAAACTTGAGCCCCAAACCCCCCTTTCTCTCCCTCATCCCACTTAATCCAGGCTAATACCTTTCTTTCTATTGGCTAATGGTTGAAGGAAGCTGAAGTTAATGCCTCTTAAATAGTGGAAACTGAGCTGGAGAGGACCTAAACCAATGTGAACGTGGAGCATTACAGGTCTGCCTTGCCTAAAGAAACCTTATTGTAATATTTTTGGGGATTTTAGCAGCTTCTGTGAAAATGTTTCCTTGGGATTTTAGTATCATATGAGTAAAAAAAAAGGGTAAATGTTTTTTTGTAACTGATCATCATTCCACAGTTCACTGGAGGTCGGAAGTAAGTGTTCATTATGTTGTTTATTTATTGAACGTGTTTAATGAAACATTGAATTTATCATTTTATTTTAAATCGTACTCACGTATTTTATCCTCTCAGTCAGCAGAATGAATTCTGTATATTTCTGTGGACCAAGAAACGGCCAGGGGCCTTTTCAATTGCAACGCGTCAACTCGTTAATTCACGAGGCTCACCAGCAGATGGCGCAGCAGTATCAGCTTCACACAGCGGCCAGTCCGGCGTCTATGCAGACTTTCACTGTGGCGGAGCGCCTGGCAGGTGAGAGGCCGCTTAATTTTTGAGGCTCAAAATATGAATTAAGTAGGCTCCAGGATAAATGCAGCATTTGTAAAAGTTTTAACATTAAGGGAAAAAACATAATAATAAAACCTGCCTGCTTTATTTATTTATTTTTTACTATTTATGTTTTAATTTACATTTATTTGCTTAATAATAAAGTAATGTACAAAAGTTGACCAAAAAATAGTGCACCTAAAAAAGTTAAATCATAATGCTTATTTGTTTTACATTTTTTACAATTGTTTCCATGATTTTTTTATGTGGACACTTTTGAGCCCTATTTAGCTTGTGTTACATGCATAATGTATCATGTGCAGTGTTACCTTAGTGTCACTGAGATATTATTTTAGGTTTATTAATATTTTGAATCAGTTTTTATTTTTATATTTTCCATTTTCATTTTCATTTTATTCAAAGTTTAGGTCATTTTGTCGTGTTTGTATTTTTTTCCATTGTTAGTAGCTTTTAAATATGTCTATATAGTTATTTTTATTCATTTTTATTTCAGTTTTAGTTAAGTACATCAAGTTAAATGGAATTCAAATTAAAAATATGATCTTGTCAACTAGCTGAAATAAAAGTTTTTGAATATTTAAATTTTTTTCAGATGATGATTATTTTATTTCAAGTAACGAAAATGTTTTTAATAGTTTTAATTTCACTTTCCAATTTTAGTTGACTATAATAACCCTGGTATCATGAAATGAATTAAGCAAGTAATAAATATCTCCTTCATTTAGAACTCATCCTTGAGGCACGCTACGGGAACCAGCAAAAGCAGCGTCGCAGTCGCACCGCCTTTAGTGTGTCCCAGTTACAAGCGCTCGAAAAGGCCTTTCAGCAAACCCAGTATCCAGATGTGGGCATGAGAGAGAGACTAGCAGTCTGCATCAACCTCCCGGAGGCCCGTATCCAGGTGAGAGCCATTGGACCATCTGCAGTGTCCAACAAGCAAAACACTTCTAAATATTAGAATACATTTACAATATAGAAAGTGCTATACCGAAAACATCTTAAATGAACAAAACGTGTTTTTTCAGGTGTGGTTCAAAAACAGACGTGCCAAATATAGAAAAGGTCAACGCTTTGCACCCCTTTCCAAAGAAGAAAGCCAAATGCATCGTCCTGCTACTAAACAACGGAAAGAATTGGTGAAGAACCAGAAGAAAGGCTCCAATTCAAAATCTCAATCCTCTATTAGGGAAAACAACACCATTCCTTCCTCATCGGACTCTATTCACCTTCATTCCCACCCCAGACTACACTCCTCTGCTGTTCTTCCATTTATTACTGGAGAACACTACCAACAACCAATGCCTCATGCACTTGGGCTGCTGTCTGCAGGTCTGCCTTTCTCTCCTACATATTTGCCTATAATACAACAGCAGCACAGCACAGCCGTCAATCTCGTGCCATTGGGGAAATGCAACAATCTCATGCTTCAGTCTGCCTGTCAATCTAAATCCATGGTTGACCACCACTTGGACATGTAACCATACCAGCAACCAATAAACCCCACTGAGCCAGTTGTCCTCATTAGCATGTGAAGAGGGAGCAGGTGTTCCTGTGCCCTTCCCCCCACCACAACATTGTAACTTTTACTCTCAGAATAACAGAAGGGTTTGGATTTTGATCTTTTTCTGTAACGTTCATTAAGTGGTTTTGATTGCATTTGTACAAACTGGCTTATTTTGTGAACTTGTCATGCTCCGTTTTGCATAGCTTAGAGCATTGTTGAGAAAACTGTTGTGTTGCACATACATATTTGAGCACTTTGTAGATTTTTATGAACATATGATCATTCTGAATACAAATAAACATGAAAAAACATCTGAATCAGTATATAACTGTGTGAACTTGCATCATGACTTCTGTGTAACCTAATTCTGGGATTGCACATTTGGTCTTTATAATTTATGTCACTGCAGTAAATAATTTAGTCAAATGTGGAGAGTTCTCAGCAGCATTAACATTTAAGTAGCAAAAGCTTATTTGTACATTCTCATTTATAGCTACAATAAATGTAAGCCCATGATTCGTTCATTTTTATATGAATGAAAGCCACAGTTACCCATCACTGAAGGTGTTTACATTTTATGGTCATATTTTGATTATCAAAGCATCATGTAAATCAGTTTGTCATAACTAGCTTAAGCCAACTGTCTGATTTCTGTAAGTCAGAAAAAGACTGCTGACATATGCCTGTATTAATCAATATTTTGGCTCATGTAAACACCTTAAAAATATTCCCATAACTAAATATTAATTTCTATGATATTAAATACAGACAGGTGATATTAGATACAGACAGTGGTACAGACACTTACTAAAAATACAAAAACATTTACTGTACAAACACTAAGCAACTTCATTGTCTATATTTGTAAGAGTTTAATGAACTACATTATACAATGACACAGCCAGTGTGCTATTAAGAGGACACGAATGAGAATTTATAATGGTTTTATAATAAACATATTTTTCAAATTGAAAATTTACAAATTACAAAATGGTCCTTAATGGGGAAAAGATATGCATTTTCTCTCTGTAACATATAAAAAAATCTATCTGTTATCCAGCTAAAAAAAAAAAAAGTGAGATATAAAATTTCTTAAAATATAATTGTCTTCTCAGTAATTTGTATTTTTGACAATGGATTCAAGGCAGAAACCTAATCTCTTCTGTCACAGCCTTGTCAATCTCCAGCTTTCCCATTAACTTTTCAAGGTATCACCATAAACATTTACATATCCTTGTTCAAATTAAACGAGTCCTGGTAAATTCTTTCTCAAAAGATGACTCCAGTATTTCCAGTAAAGGACCCCCCAACTGTTGATCCAGGCAAAACATTTGAGTTGTTCTCCAGGTGGGGACGGTAGGGAGCTTCGTTTGCGCGCGATAGCACAGCCGCATATTCACCAATCTATCTACGCACTTTTGAGAACGTATCCACAGCAATGGGAGTGTCGGGTGACGCCGGAGCTTCGCTCACCGAAACGGTAGGCTTAAAGAGACAACAGCGAAGCCGGGCTGGTCTTTAGTGGGAAATTAAATCACTTTTAAGAGCTTAAATAAAGGACCATGTCGCGGCGTACTACATAGGGAACTCAAACGCAGGTAAAAAATTTTTTATGTTTCCTAAGGAAAAACATTCCCCTGCTCGTTTTAATCGAAAGACTGAAAGGTTCCCTGCTAAACGGCTAATGTGATGTTAGCCTAGCCGGTGGGTTGCTAAGCTAGTTTATTTGTGTAGGATTATTGTCATGTTTCTCTAACAAGGCTTGGAGTTGTTTAGCTGGTTTGTCGAAATTTCCTTCCTTTTTCAGATAGGAGAGGGAATATATTTTGCTTTAGTTGTAAAACAAAATACATTTGGACGTGTATTTAGTTCATATTTGACGGTTCAGCTAGACAGCCACTAATTTAAGGACGTTTTTAAGCCACTAGCCAAGAAGACGGCTCAAAAAAATAGAATGAATGCCTTCAAAGACATATTTACTGTTAAAGACGTGTTGAAGTGTGTATTTTTTGCTAGGCCAGAATAGGAAGCTTTCTAGGATTGACACTTCATTATGAAATAAAACATTTATGGACGGATGAGACACCCTTTCAGTGACAGGATTGATATAAATGTATTTTGTTTGACATTTTAGACATGTACAACTGATTTAGAAAGCTCTTATGTCAAGCGTGTTATCGGCAATTAAATCATCTATGTAATTTAAAAACATTAAGGTATTAAGCTCACGAGTAGGTGAGGTTTAATGTGGCTTAATTTTGGACAGATGTTATAAACTATGATTTACATTTCAAAATAGAGTTGTGCCCAATTCTAGTCAGTTATCAGACTAGAAGGGTGTCAGACAGCAAACAAGAGGTGTTAAACTGTATCTCACAATTAAACAAGGCTAAACAAATTAGTATGGAAAGTCACACTGTGCTTAAGGAAATAAATGACCAGGCAGCTCTCTTTCTCGCTCTTTGTCTCTCATGCCCAAATCAACACCACACAAGGCCTTATAGATCAACACAGAAGCAGTTTTATGGCACCAGCTTCTCTCTTTTGCCCATCTGAGAAAGTAGAAGTAGATGTCTTGGTTTTTACACAGCCTCTAACACGTGCATATTTCCTGTTTGAAAGCTAAAACACAAAGTGCTGTCTAAGTTGAAACCTAGTTTCTGCTTTGAAATAAGTTGTAAATGGGTTGTTAGCTGGCTTATCTCCTCATCTTTTAGGCAGAGTGACTCAAAACAGCTGTGAGCACTAACTTGGCATCCACTATTAGTCAGGCAGTTTTAATTCCAGATTATATGGTATTATGGTCATCATTTTGGCTTTGTCTGATTAATTTTTGCATCAGGTGTTTTTTATGATGATGTTCCTGTGTTATCTTTGAGATTCATCCCTTAATCTGTAATCTGTTCTCTAAATATGAAACTGAAGCCAGAGTCAGTCAGTATCTGCAATGTGTATCTTAGTTAAACATCATTCAAGCACTGATAAGATGTTTCTGATCTAAGTAGTAGATGGAAACATACCCCATAATCAGTACAGTAGTTTTTGTCGACAGATGTTGTAATTACATCTGATCCCTTTTTGGCTGTTGCCTTGTGGCATGGTTTTCCATTTTGCCGTTGTATGAGCATATAATCAGCATTTTTATGGTACCGTGTGGAGTTGTGACCAACAGGCATCGGAATACAAGACAGACTGCCAATCCTGACGAAACTGTCGCTTGAGGTTATTCCCATTTTCAGGCCATAGATGAAGATCATTATGGTGCTTGTTAAATGCCTTATGTAATCCAATGTTTATTATTCACCTTAGTGTAGCTTCTACAGTATGCAATTAGGATGAATTGTTTCCTGTAATGATTGATTTTTATATTGAGAATTGATGCATAGGAATTCTTTCCTAAAGGGCTGTCCAGCACCCCCGTAACTGTTATAAAAGCTAAGCCGACATGATTGGTGATGCATTTATTTTGCTGAATGACAGGGCACCATTTTTCATAATTCGTTTTGCACAGGCTAACGTATTATAATTTCCTCGGACTAGAAAAATGAGCCGTGCATTAATAATCTAATGCATTTG